CGTAAATGAAAGCATATGTAAGGAGACCCTGCATGAGAAACCCTACCCCATCCCTTATGTGCTCCTCCTTCTCCTGTGTCCCCACCTCAATAAATAGCACCCATCTACAAAACTGCACCAGGTAAAAACCAGATGTCATCCTGATTCCTTCCTTACCCTCCACACCAATCATCTTTGCTAGGGTGCAGTGGTTCCATCTTGGCTCACTGTAACCTCTGCTCCTGCGTTCAAGGGATTCTCTTGGCTGAGCCTCCTGAGTAGCTAGGATTATAGGTGCCTGCCACCACGGCCAGCTAATTTTTTTTCTTTTCGTATTTTTAATAGAGATGGGGTTTCACCATGTTGGCCAGGCTAGTCTCAAACTCCTGGCCTCAGATGATCCACCCACCTCGGCCTCCCAAAGTGCAGGGATTACAGACATCAGCCACCATGCCTGGCAATTCCACCTTTTTTCTACACACGCTCTCCCACTACCTTCATTTGAAACACCATCACCTCTTGCCAGCCTCCTAACTGGTCTCTCTGTCCATAGAGCTCTAGCTCTCCAGTCCACTCCTGAACAGGCAGCCAGGGACATCCTTCAAAATGCACTTCGAATCATGGCCCCCTCACCTCAGGATGAAGTACAAACTCCTCAACACAGGCAAGGAGGCCCTTTCCCAACTTGGCCTCTGCTCTGCCTACCATGAAAGTCTCCTGTCCAGCCACATCGACCCAACTCAAGCATTATGCTCCACCCAAGAAACCTGAGAAATTTATTTAGCCCTCTTGACCTGTTTTCTTCAACTATAGAATGGAATATAGTACATACCTTCAGGATGGTTATGGAAAGAAATAATACATTTAAATTCTTAGAATAATATCTGACGTATATAGTAAATGACCAAAGGTCTTAACCATATCATCACCATCTCTGAACTTGCTGTTCCTTCTACCTAGAACAGTCTTATCTCTGCCTCCTCCCTGACTCTCTCAGATCTCTTCTTTTCCTGGCTTATGTCAGTTTTTCTCTTGAGGGCTAGGCTTAACCAATTTCTCCTCCTAAGAAGCCTTCCCTGACCTTCCAATGCTAGGTTAGGCAACATTTCTCTGAGCTCTCCTGGTGTCTGTCCCTGTCACAACACAACACTTCTCACACTGCCTGTTTCCTTGCCTTTCTTTCCCACTAAGCTATATGAACCCAAATCCCTAAGCTTAGTACCATGTCTGACAGATGCTTATTAATTGTTCAGTGATTGAAAAACTTTCGAAAAATGAGGTACCCAATGAAAGACAACCTCAACAAGTAACCTCCTCAAATGTTAGCCAGGTAGCTGGTCTAAATGACTTTAAGGTCTCTCAACTACAAAATTCTATCCAACAAATTCAGCACATTGACCTAACTGGTCACATTTGTTTGAACAAGTAGGCAGTGCTGGGGCCATCAAATTTTTAAGGAGAGTGTGACATGACCAGACACATGATCATGTGTTTGTTACCTTATTAACCATCTCTGAGACACTGCCTCCTCCAATCCACAGCTGTTATCAGGACAAAATTCCAACCATCTTCATTAACAGCCCACTCCCCTAAATACACCAACAGAAAACGGTCAGAGGCCATTTTGAAAGGCTATATGCAGCATCTAACTCCATCTTAACCACCTGCAAGCAAGAAGGAACCATCAACATCCTATAAGAACTCAAAAGCTAATCCCTCTTGTGTGCCTTTATGGAACGAGGGGGAAGAGGGAGCATTTCATAAAGATGATCTACTTAATCATCCTGAGTAGTTTTGATCCAAGCTGCTGTCACTGCACTGTTATTCCTGACAACTGTAGCCCTATATCCCCAAACCCTGGATGGTCAGAAGGGGAGGTGCAAACAAGGTGAGAGTGAGGAGTTATCTAGATTCTATTTTAAGGGTATAATGACCCAGTGTGGTGGCTCATGCCAGTAATCCCAGCACTTTGGGAGGCCAAGTGGGGGGGATCACCTGAGGTCAGGAGTTCAAAACCAGCCTGGCCAACCTGGTGAAACCCCATCTCTACCAAAAATACAAAAATTAGCCAAAACAGGCTTAAGTGATAAAGAACATCAATCTAAGGGGGAGAGGAGTGGGTCTTACTCAGAGATACAACCAGGCCTGGGTTCCTGTTCTGGAACAGCATGCAGGTGAGGACTACTATTTTGCATTTACAACACACTCTGAAACTAAGGAAGACACTAAGTGTGCCAGCTTTGCAGTCACAAAAAGACAAATATTGCACAATTCCACTTACATGAGGTTCCTAGAATAGTCAAATTCACAGAAAGTAGAATGATAGTTTTCAGGGGCTGGAGGGAGGAAGGAATGGGGAGTTAGTATTTAAAAAATACAGAGTTTCAATTGGGGAAGATAATGGGCAGTGGTGATGGTTGCATAACCATGTGAATGTACTTAATGTCACATAAATATACACTTTGAAATGGTTAAAATTGTAAATTTTATGTTATATATATTTTATCACAATTTTCTTTTTAAAAAAGCATGCCAGCTTTAAGGTTATACTGTCTGCAGTCTGAATCCTGGCTTGGTCACTTACCAGTTAAATGACCCTGAGGCAGGTCATTTAACTTCTCTAAGCTTGTTTCTTCTCCAAAACAGAGATAATAATAATACTTAATTCATCAGTTGTTCTGAGAATTAAGTAATATAGTCCATAAAGTCCTCAGTCCAGTGACTGGTGATACACGTTAAGTACCTTAATAAATTCAGCTATTATTACTACCACTATAAAGCACTTTCACAGCCATTTTCTTACAGTCCCCACAACAATCCTATGAGATGTTACAGATAAGGAAACTGAGGCTCAGAGAGCCACAATGAGTGGCTCAGTTTATGATGCCAAATCAAATCCTCTGCTCCAGGTGTCCCATCCTCACTACTTACTCATTCTGTCATCTAAGGCAAGTGCTATGCTACGTCTCCATTCCCTCACAGTAAAAAGGAGACATAAATCAAGCTCTACAAATTCCCTCACAGAAATGGATTAGAAATTAAATCAGATAATGGTTATGGAAGCGTATATAAGCCATAAACATATAAAACTGAAGTGGTGACTTATGAGAACTAGTACACCTATACTGAAACCTGGCCTTCCTTTAATACTAACCATAAGGCACAGAAAGTGGTGGAGACTATAAAACTTCCTTGGGATTTCCAATTACTCAGGATTCCTGACCTTAAGGCCTGAATAAGTAGTTTCCTGCCCTTTTAAGAAGTGGCAAGGTATGGGAGAAATAAAAATACTACTGGATTAGAAGGAAGAAGACTGGGAATTCTAGTTCTCACTCTGACACTAAGGCAGTCTGAATTCAGACCACTACTTCCCCTTTCCAACGTTCAGTTAACAGGGAAGCAGAGAAAGGCAGATATGAAAAAGTTGGATCAGATGGTCTGTAAAACCCCTTTCAGCTCCTACATAGGACTTCTAAATCCAGAATCCTGGCCAAGACCTACAAGACTCCAAAGGACTAATGCAAACATCAAGAGACTCCTCAAGACCTGGCCCAGAAACTCTCCTGCCTGATTTTTAGACACTCCCTCAAACCGGATCAAACACATTGGAAAACTGGAACATTTGCCAAAGTTAATTTTAGTTCACTTTAACCACTCTGTGCCTTATCTGAAAATAGGAGAAATATTTGCCTGAAAGCAGATGACTTGAGCTATTCCCCCAGCCTCCATCAAACTAGGATCGATAAACCTAAACAAAGAGAACCTGCAAGGTCTGAGAGAAGGACCATGCCACACACAAAATAAAGCGTGAATCCCACCGTTTAAAGTCTCAAGGCTTCCTTGAGACAAAACCCCAGGGAATTTCAGTTGTGTCTGAGATCTTGGGTCACTGCATCCATTAACTTCTAACTGCCGCAATACTAGCAAGGAATTCATCCAAACCTTTCCCCTTGGAGATATGGTAATCCCAGAATGAGATTTCATCCATAGTATAGTGGACAACCGCCCAGAAGCCAGGGAAAACCTAGAGCTACGTCCCTAATTAAACGGTGTGACCCAAGGCTCGGTTAAAATGCCCTCTGCACTAAGAGATGATGCTCACACTACGAAATTTAATAAATAACGGGTGCTAGCACCGCTCCTTTACACTTCTGTGGCTACTGTGACTTGGAGAAAATTACTTGACCCCTCTGCGCCTTGATTTCTGCTTCTGTAAATAGGGATAAACTAGAAGGCCGTTGTGACCATTAAAAGAAACAATGTTCCTGGGAGAAGGCTCATTAAATGTTGCCTGTTGGTGTTAAACACTTTTCACATATTAGTTTCCTCCCTGAATCCATTAACACCCCGCGAGGCGAGTTTCCCTCTTTCCTCCCATGTCACCGAGTGGCAAACTAAGGCTCAGCCACCAAAGGGACTGAGTGAAATGCGGATACGGCCCCAGCTCGAGGGACCGTTGTTGTTTCTCTCCGAGCCCAAGGTGTGCAAAGAGCCCAGAAGAGGCAGGAGCCAAGGCAGGACCAGCTCTGCGCGCCTCCGGGAGCCCGTAGACCCAGCCCGGGTAGGAGAGCCGGAAGCAGCCGGGGCCGGGCCCGCCCGAGGCCTCCCAGGAGCAGCCTCCGTTCCCCTCCCTCCGCCCCTCGCCGGGCGGGGCGGGGCGCGAGCACAAAAGACTCCAACTTCCGAGCGGGTGCGGGCCCACCCAGCCAACTACCCGCCCAGGCTCAGCCCACGGGGAGGGAGCAGGCAGGGAACGCCAGGGCGGCCCGGAGCGGGCGCGGGAGCGGGGGGCGGGGGCTGGGGGCTGGGGGCTGGGGCTGGCGACCCGGGGCGGCGGGTCCGGGTGGGAGAAAAGAGCGGCGGAGGGGGCCTGGAGTTACTCGGGCTCCCAGGACTCCCCGAAGGGTAGAAATAAGAGTTTCTAAAAATAGCCAGCGGCCCGCCAGAAGTGGGTGAACGGAAAGGAACAAAGCACACACCCTTCCCGCACCCCTAAGGAGACACCCGCAGCCCCCACTCACCCGCGCCCAGAGGTCTGGAGAAAGCCGCGCGGCTGGGAAGGAGGCGGTGCCGCTGCACTCGGGGACGTAAGGGAGGGAGGAAAAGGGCGGCTGCGGCGGGAGGAGGCTGGGCACTCGCGCGGGAGTCGTACTTGCCGTCGCCGCCGCCGCTACCGCCCCCTCAGCTTCTTCGGGCTCCGCTAGCCCGCGCCCGCGCCCGCGCCGCTCGCGCGCTCCACCGCACTGACAGCGACGCGAGCCCCGCAACCGCGAGCCCTGCCTTCGGCCAGCACCACTGACGCCCGCGGGGGTGGGGGCACCCGGAGCGGCTCCCTGAGCTCGGCCCCGCCCGCCACTCTGTCCCTGGTCCAGGGCTCTCCCACGTCTCTGTCTCCAGGGAAGGACACGATGACACGAGCAAGAGGAGTCCGCAGCCTCACCCAGAAACGGCCCGGCTCCCCAGGCGCAAGGGTTCTCCCCACCCTCCTAGCCAGGCTTTGGAAAGGTCCAGAGCTTCGGCGGGGACAGGAGAAAGGCGGGTCCAGGGCAGGGCCTGAAAGGGAGGAGGGACTGAGACGCGGCTCGGGGGGCGGGGCTGGGGCGGGAAGAGAGAATCGCCTGAACAGGTTTGGAGCCAAAGTGGGGGCGGAGCTGAGAGAGTGGTAAGGCCCTGGGAAGGAGCCGCGCAGGTAGGGAAGATGGTGCAGGCGACGGGGGCCTGGAGCCAGGAAAGTGCTTGGAGATACTGTGGGCCTGGCCAAAGGAGAACTGCCCAGAGGGCGGAGCCATGGGCGGAGGGAGGTGGAGCTGAAGAGGAGCCTATAGTGGGAAGAAGATAGAAGCGACCCTGAAGAGGCGGGCCCGGAAGCAGGGGGGGAGGAGGGGCCCTAGGGGTGGCTACTCAGGGCGGGAGCCGGAAGGAGGCGTGCCTCAGGGAAGGACTGACCGGTGGTGCTCGAGGTGGGCGGAGCCTGAGGATGGCGCTCAAACTAGCAGGCCGTGGTGGTGCCTGCTGGTTTGAACAAGGATCCGGAAGAGACGAGGCAGGAAGAAACTCCTGGTCCTTTCGCTTTCAAGGAACGTGGCACCAAGACAGGGTGAGTGAGGGACGCTCTTCGCTGCCTAAGCTGGGACTGGGCGGAGAGGCCGCGCTGAGGGTGGTCTCCGAAAACGGTGCGGGAGATGTTTTATAACTTGATCCGGGTGCTAGTCCTTCCTCCTACACATTTCTCCTGTCAGGATCTCTTACTTGAATCGGTGTTCCACCCTCCAGTGAACAGCCAGAGTCTTCCTAATGAGACCGCAAGAGGACCGTTGCCCTTCATTCCTCAGCTATGGACTTCCCTGAAAGTTGAGAACTGACCATATTCTCGATGCCTCCTCTGACCTGTGATTTCGTGACTCACATCGCTTCCTCTGAACCTGTTTAAGAGACGGGATTCCTTAGAATGGGGCAGAGTTTGAATTTAGAGTCCTGGCTTTGCCATACCAGGAGTTATAATTGCCCTCCTGTTGTTTGATGACCTCCTTGTCCTGTTTTAAAAGGAAGATAAATCAAAGAGTTCACGACCTTGAGAGTATGCCTGGGACGTTCTTCCACAAACTCTGTTTTAATATCACCTCCTCAAAAGAGCTCTTCCCTGAACACCTTGTCTCAAGATGTTCTCTAGTTTGTCTTCTTGTTCTGTCATGTATTTGTCTGTTCATTGTTTATTTGTGTGTTTTTTGATACGGAGTCTTGCTCTGTTGCCTAGGCTGGAGTGCAGTGGTGTGATAATTGGCTCACTGCAACCTCTGCTTCCTGGGTTCAAAGCAATTCTCATGCCTCAGCCTCCCAAATAGCTGAGATTACAGGTGTGCACCACAATGCCTGGATGATTTTTGTATTTTTAGTGGAGACAGGGTTCCACCATGTTGGCCAGGCTGGTCTCTAACTCCTGACCTCAGGGGATCCCGCCTTGGCCTCCTAAAGTGCTGAGTGAGATTACAAGTGTGAGCCACCCCACACCCTGCCATGTTTGTTTGGTTTTTGAGACAGGGTCTCATTCTGTTGCCCAGGCTGGAGTGCAGTGGCATGATCAAAACTCACTGCAGCCTCAACCTCCCAAACTCAAGCAATCCTCCCACCTCAGCCTCCCTAGTAACTGGGACTACTGGCATGTACTACCACTCTGGGCTACCTTTTTTTTAACTTTCACTATATTGTTCAAGCTGGTCTTGAACTCCTGAGCTCAAGTGATCCTCCTGCCTTGGCCTTACAGGTGTGAGTCTCCATGCCCGGCAGAAGGGAGATATTTCTAAGGAAATATGCTGACAATCTAGCTAACACTTAGTGAGAATTTACTAATTCGTATGCAGTCTGCTAAGTGTTTTTCAAGCATATTTAATTCTCACAACATCCCTATGAGGTAGGTACTGTTCTTACTCCGTTATACAGATGAGGAAACTGTGGCACAAAGAGGTTAACTTTCCCAAGGTCACACAGTTGGTAAATGATGGAGTCCTGCAGGCTGAATTACTATATTATCCTACCTCCTAATTATTAAGGACCTAGGGTTGTTGGTCCAATAAAGGTGAAGAATGAAGATGTGACATTCTTTTGCTTTCAGGATAGTGTGACATAGGATATGATACCTACCTAGGGTTGCAGCAGATTATTTATTTTTATTTTTAGCCACATGAGGGAGGCCAGTTAGAAGACAAAACCATCACATAGAGGAGGGCAAGACAAAAAATATTATAGAATAAAATGAGTCAGAGACTTGATCCAGCCATTCCTGAAGTTTGACCCACCTCTCGACTTTAACATGAACATTTTTATAGTAATGTGAGTTGTGATTTTTTTTTTTTTTTTTTTTTTTTTTTTGGGGAGGGAGTTTTGCCCTTTTTTCCCAGGCTGGAGTGCAATGGCGCGATCTCGGCTCACCGCAACCTCCGCCTCCTGGGTTCAGGCAATTCTCCTGCCTCAGCCTCCTGAGTAGCTGGGATTACAGGCACGCGCCACCATGCCCAGCTAATTTTTTGTAGTTTTAGTAGAGACGGGGTTTCACCATGTTGACCAGGATGATCTCGATCTCTTGACCTCGTGATCCACCCGCCTCGGCCTCCCAAAGTGCTGGGATTACAGGCGTGAGCCACCGCGCCCAGCCGAGTTGTGATTTTTATAATTGGCAGCCATTATTTCCTAACTAGAACATGAGTAGAGTCCCAACAGGTGGAGCTAATAAATAATAAAGTGTCAAGGTTGGAAGAATATAATGTAATTTGGTTCGTCTGCATTTTTAATCCCGTTAGTAATCCTACAAGGTTAGTTCTGTTTTTTCCCTCCATTTCACAAATGAGGAAATGTGATATGGCCATTGTATGGCTACTCAGGAGGCTGGAGCAGGAGAATCTCTTGAATCCGGGAAGTGGAGGTTGCAGTGAGCCGAGATCATACCACTGCACTGTAGCCTAGGCGACAGGGAGACTGACTCAAAAACAAAACAAAGTTTTGTTATTATCAATGTGAAAGGCATTCTGCTATCTACTGGAATCCATAAAATCATGAACTATTACAACTGGAAAGTTCCTCCAAGACACCTCATCCAGGGGTTTTCAAACTTCTCAAGCTGTCCACCCTTCTTACCCAAGACCTTTCACAGAAAGGCAATGTATAAAACAGATGAGGGAGAGGGGGTGGCTTTGCTTGAAGCAGGGGAGAGGGACTCAGCGTCATTCCTACTAGGCCTCTCCACAAGCCACCCAGCCACAAGACACCCTTCTTAAGCAGTGATCCCTCCACAAAATCACAGGGTGTTGCAGAATACAGTTTAAGAATCACCATTCTTTCCCAGGTCCTGTTTTACAGATAGGAAAATGGAGGCTCAGAAAAGCATAGAGATTTACTTAATGGTTTCTGGAGGAAGTCAGTGGCAGGGAGGGATACCTGCCTTACAGGATAATGCACTTTCCAGTGGGAATAGCGCTATCTCTTTCCTGCTCTGCGTTTGAGAATAAACCCTGTCTTGGCTCCTTCCTGACGGGTGAGAAGTAGCCCTCCTGGAACTGCCTCAAAGCTCCTGGTTATCAACAGTGTTCTCAGTTGCAAATTACAAAACATAAATAAACTCAGGCTAACAGACACAGCAAAGGAATTTATCAGGAAGGAATGGGGAGCTCCCAGAACTGATGGGAAAGCTGGAGAACCAGGCTCAGAAAAGGCACTGAAGTGGTGAGCACAGACACTTGAATGTTGCCAGGACTCTCCTCCCCGTCCTATCACTTCTCTGTGTGCGAGCTTTCCTCCTCAAGGCTAGACACATGGCTGCAGCAGTGCTCACCACTCACAGCTCACCCGCTTCACCAGAGACTGAGGATTTCTGCTTCTGGTCTGAAGGACAAAATTTTAGGGAAGAACTTCGATTGGCCCAACATGGGTAAGTTCCTGACCCTGGTCCAATCATCTGTGGCTGGAGAGCCAGGTGCTGTGACTGGCCCAACTTAAACCAGGTGCCACTCTTTAACCAATCATTGTCAGTGAATAGGGAAGTGGGACATACCAGGAGATGGCAGTGCCATCAGAACCATATGATCAGAGAAAGATGCATTTCCCAAAAGATGGAGTTCATGGTCTGGGCAGATTGAATAATAGAATTTGACTACACCTGCCTCAGAGTCACCCCCTGCTAATACATTACTCACTGCTCAATTCTCATCATTTCCTCCACTGTGCAAAACCCTTCAATGGGCCTGGCACAGTGGCTCATGCCTGTAATCCCAGCACTTTGGGAGCCCAAGGCGGGAGGATCACTTGACGTCAGCAGTTCAAGACCAGCCTGGCCAACATGGTGAAACCCCCATCTATACTAAAAATACAAAAATTAGCCTGGCATCGTGGTGGGCACCTGGAATCTCAGCTACTTGGGAGGCTGAGGTGGGACAATCACTTGAACCTGAGAGGCAGAGGTTGCAATGAGCCAAGATCATGCCTGGGAAACAGAGCGAGACTCTGTCTCAAAAAAACAAAAACAAAACAACCCTTCAGTGCCTTCCCGTTGTCATGTCATCAGCATGGATCAAAAACTCAAATGTCATGCCAGGCACAATGGCTCACACCTGTAATCCCAGCATTCTGGGAGGCTGAGGCAGGAGGATTGTTTGAACCCAGGAGTTTGAGACCAGCCTGGGCAATGTAGTGAGACCCTGTCTCTACAAAAAAATTTTTTTAATTAGCCAGGCATAGTGGCATGTGCCTATAATCCCAGCTACTTGGGAGACTGAGGCCAGAGGATCACTTGAGCCCAGGAGGCCACGGCTACAGTGAGCCATGCTCATACCACTGCACCCCAGCCTCAGCAACAGAGTGAGACCCTGTCTCAAAACAAATAAACAGCAACAATAGCAAACCCTCACGTGTCTACAGGGGCTAGAAAGCAGGTTGGGGTGAGACAATAGAGAGTGGAGAGCAATGTCATGAACTGGAGAGCATGTGTCGCATACACAGAGGACAGCCAGCCAACTGTTCCTAGAATGCAGGTGCTGAGATGCAGGATTCTTCAAGAGAGCCCCCAAATCTGGATTTTCATATAAAATTTCCCAATTTCTAAATGTTGGCTCAACTATTTTTTAAAAGCCTGTGCAAGCCAAATGAATTATGTCTGCAGGCCAATTACTGTTGTAGGCTGTGGTCTAAAAATGGGCAATCTCTGACCTTTATAGCATAAAGTCTATAATCACACACCCACCTTTGGGGTCTATTATTTATTGCTACATAATAAACCACCCTGAAAATGCAGTGACTTAAAACAACAATGATTTGTTCCTTCTCACAATTTTATGGGATGACCAGGTAGTTGTTCTGCTCCATGTGGTGTCGGCTGTGAAAAGCTTCCTCCTATCTCCACCTCCACATGTTCTATTTCCTTTTCAAGCCCAAGTGCCAATGGCGCCTCCACCCCAAAGCCGGCCTCATCTGTGCCACATACATTGCCACTGGCCAAGTCTAAATGAGATGCTGTGCTCTCCAAGCTTTGTTGCTCTTTATGTATAACTGTTAGAGCACGCATCCAGCTCACCTAGAGGATGGAGGTCTGCCTTGTCCATCTTTGTATCCTTCTGACACAGTCAAAAGGGAAAGCCCCATGAGTGCTGTCAGATTGGATTGAACTGAACTGACCCTTGGAGATATTTAGTCCAAACTGCCCATTTTACAGATGGAGAAATGAGGCCTGGAGAGGGGAGTTCACACATCATCTACACTGAAAGCTGCCCATCAAAAGAGTTGCAGAACCAGGGCTACAGCCCTTGCATCTTGACTGCTAGTACCGTGCAGGTGAAACCCTGTGTTTAATCCTTGTTGATGTCGATGTCTGGGACTTGAATAGAAGACATTTCTCATTTCAGATGCATCCATTAGCAGGTCTTAGCCAGGAGCTGGGCCCTTGCGAGTATATATTGCACGTAATTGATGACATTGGAGCCAGAAATCGAATGAACCAGCCTCAGTTCAATCCACTTACTGGACAAGCTCCTCAAGCACTCTAAGCCCCAATTTCCTCCTCTGTAAAGTGGGCATAAATTACATTTACCTTGAGGGTTGCTGTGAAGGCCAGAAATAATATATGTAGTGTCCCCTGACACACAGAAGGTGTTCAAGAAATAGTAAGCCCTTCTAATGATTGTTATTGATGACAAAGAGGATGAAAAACAAATGCTCTGACTTCTCAAAGGAGAGAGAATGATCCCTGAGGATTGTGTCTTGGAGAACATAAATCCATATCTTCTCTTTCCTGAATAAATTTCCTTTGGAAGGGCACAAAGGGAACAAATTCCCTTGTTAGGAAGGAAGGGAGGGAAGGAAGGATGGAAGAAGAGAGGGAGGAAGAGTTGGCAGGTTGTGACTGTCTCTACCTCTCCCTGAGGCTTGCTCTGTTACCCCCACCCCAAGCTCTGGTCCATCCCATTTCCATGCTGAGCTCAGGCCACACACAGAAGTGTTGGTGTCAGACCACCAGCTTTGAGCCATCCCAGCTGGGAATCCCCAGGATATCAGATAGCAGATTTGGAGCATACAGTTTCCACCCGCTGTTACTGATGGCTGCAGAGCTCAAGGTTATGCAGGAAGCTCTCATAGGTCAGTGTAAAGTTATGTGTCTCTCATTCCTTACTGGCTCAGCCCTCAGAGCCCTTGTCCCTGCTCTCTGCCTTGCCCCTAGTCTTCACTAGTGTTTTATCAAACAAAAGAGAGGCTGGCATCTTTAAAGCATGGTCTTTATTAAGTAGGGAGCAAATCATTGCACACCTTCCCTCCCAATACCTCCCTCACCAGTGCCTTCAAGTCTTCGAACAAGAGGGGGCACATCTCCCCACTTCCCAGTGACCTTCCTCCGCCCCTCATTGCATCCATGAGTGACACAACGGAGATCAGATGCAGCGATGTTAATTGAAATTGACATTAAGTGCTCACTTGCTCAAGCAGAAGCACATTAGAAGAAATATAAACGAGGCAGACATTGGGTCTGTGACATTTGTTCTAATGAGAAAAACTATCTCTAGAACATCTCATTCAAAAAGAATTGAATGCCCAGGAAATGACAGATACATGAGGCCCTCCACCCCCACACCCCCCCTAATACTCAGTAGTGTCACACACACTTGCAGAGACTTTTCAATCATCCTTGCTTCAGACCTGATTCCCCAGGTGCATTTCTGCAGGTGTCACCGAACACATTCTCCCTCATGTTCTTCATCTGTTTCTTCAAATCTACTTCTCCATATTATTTTAAGAGTTTGTGGCCAGATGTTGGTAGCATGTCCTCCTAGATGTTCTTATTTGCTGTACCTCAGGAATTCTTGACCAGGTGGTCCATGAACATCTCAGCTTTCATCCAATAAGAGGACCCTAAGACTAAAAGAATGCCATCTGGAGTAGAGAGAGGGATACCCAATTAGCCAGTTTTTTTCATTGTTCTTTGTTTTTGTTTGTTTGTTTTCTGAGACAGAGTCTCTGTCACCCAGGCTGGAGTGCTGTGGTGTGATCATAGCTCACTGCAGCATTGAACTCCTGGGCTCAAGCAGTCCTTCTGTCTCGGCCTCCTGAGTAGCTAGAACTATAGGCATGTACTACCATGCCTAGCTAATTTTTTTAGAAATGTTATTGTAAAGAGAGGATCTCGTGATGTTGCCCAGGCTGATCTTGAACTTCTTCCAGTGCACCATGCTTCTGGCATTCATACTCCTTTTATTTTTTGAAACAGTTTCGCTCTTGTTGCCCAGGC